GTACTCACTGAGATGGGTATTTAATTTGAGCAGGAGTCAAATGTTGGGGAAATAAATGAGAAGAGGTAATTATCCTTCCAAGATTATTGAACTTGAACCAAGGCTTTTACTGACTTGCTGTTTCTTCTTCAGAATAAGGTTAACCTGTTGCATTTTAGAAGTTTGAATGAAGGCCAAGTTGTATTCATCTTGGTTTTTATGTAGAAATTTCAGCAAATGCTTTAAGTCATTTTTATTTCTCCTGGTAAGAGCTGTCCCCATTTTTTCATCCCTAGTGTTATAGGTGAACTTTAGTTGTTTGGTGCTTCCACATTTGCTTGGAATTAAGAATTATTTGAGACTTTGGTGTTAGGCTTTTCCTTTTATTTCAACTCTTGGATTTGTTGTTGTTGTAACATGACTTGTGTTTATTATTTCATTGATTCCACCAGTGGATGATCTCTGCTTAAATGTCACCTCTTGCCCTCCTTGGCCGTCTGCTCTGAGGGCCACCTACTTCCTCAGTAGGTTATCACCTGTGTTTATATCTCTTCTTATTTGTTCACCTGCCTGTTCCTCCACCAGAATTTAAGTTCTCTATGAGCAGATGTCTCATATGACTTATTCTCTGTCCTCTAGAACCAGGGCCTAGGACAGGTCTGTCAGAAAGTAGGTTTTCAATAATATCAGTTAATTGAAGAATAAATGGTTTTTAAAAATTCAAATAGTCCCTGAAAGTATCTACTTAAAAGTAAGTTTCTTTCCCATCCTTCCTCCTTTCTATAGAGACAAGCACGAGTGTTACTAGTGTCACGAATATCCATCTGGGGATAGTTTGCATATGTAAACTAGAAGTAGTTGTATCCCCCTTTTTTTACACAAATGGTATCATGTTAAACACTAGTATATCCTTAGCTTTTCATTGAACAGTATGTCTTAAAGATCCTTTCCTAGCCGTATATAGATTTGCCACGATAGAATAATCTTCTGTTACATGTCCCATAATTTAGATAATCACCCTCTCCATTCCTGGACTGTTTAGATGTTTTCTGATCTTTTGCCATTACCAACAGGGCTGCTCTGAATTCCCTCGTTAGGTAACATAAGTTATTCTTCCGGTCTCTGGCAGAACAGATATCAGGTCCCCATCCAACTTCCTAGGCACAACCACTGCTTCTCAGTTTCATTCATGAACCTAATTATCTCTTCCTGACACCAGGCTGTGTGTCCAGTGACCCATGATTTTGTACACAGAGATGAGGGATATTGTTTCAGGAAACACCAAGGCGGAGAGGGTCATGACTGGCCGCTTTGTCCTGTGCCATCATCACTTCTAAACAGTTGCAGCTCTCCAGCTGTGCCCTGACAGCAAGATTGACCTTCTTCCATTTAATCATTTAGAGGGGGCTCAATGCCAAGTTGGCCTCCAAGGACTTCTGACCATTCTGCTGGCTTGTTTGGAAGGAAACTTTGAAGCTTAGCGAAGACCACATTCTTCCTGTGAACCAGCTCTTCTGCAAAGGCTCTCATTAGGTAGAGAGACTTGAGGTCCCTGAGGACTAGAAGGCCCCTCCATTCAAAGCAGAAGTATTGCCCTGATACCTTTTTGAAATGCTTAGAGAAGAAACTGTGTCTGCCCAGTGCTGTATGTTTAAAAAGAAATGTATATGGCATTTTAATTTGTTTTGTCTTTGGAAACTATTTTTCCATCAATTATGAATTGTTCCCTCACATGGCTCTGCTTGGGGAGGTCAGTGTCATTCAATCGAATCCAGTTTAATTGAGTCTGAGAAACTAGGGATGCTTTATAGCGACGGTGAAATCCTAGATCTTTTGGTACTTTGTGTTGTCATACAGATGAAAGCTACACAAAAAAATCATTGTGATAGTGTTATAGTTGATAGGGAGAGGGAGAGTGGGTTTGAATGCTTTCCCCCTTCTTTGTTTTTCATGGTGGCTCTTCTTAGCAAGTCCAGGAACCTGATAAGCAGGCCTTGCAAATCCATTGTTTCTTTGACAGCTGGATAAATGTTGAGTTTGTTTGGAAATGAGGACTATATATATATTTCAGAGATCCACCCAGTTCCTGACCTGCAGTGAGGAGAGGCCTGCTAAGGATCAGCATGTTCAGCCAGTCAGTTTTTTCCTCTGAGCAGCTTCGGTTTCCTGAATCGGATGAGTCTGCTCTTGCTCTTTAGAAAAAGACAAGAAAGACACAAATCTCAGGCCAGGAAGAGCTACTGGCTAGAAGGGATGATTGGAGGTTCTACTCTGGAGACTGTGTCTTTACAAGCAGCAGGGAGATGTGTCCCGAGGTCAGCTGAGGCAAATGTTTTTGGAAAGGAAGCTTCACATGTTGTTTATATTTACAGAGAGCCTTTTCTGTTGGGTCCGCCTTGTTCACAGCTGAAACTGCTTTTGAGCTCGCAGGCCTGGCACCCTGTCTTCCTGCTGCTTGGTCTTACTGAAGTCGGGAGGAGGAAGCAGGCTTTATGTATGATCTGGGGATAACCAAGACTCTTTTTTAATGACAGGAATAATTATATAACAACATTTCTAGTTAGTTTCCAATTTAGTTCTGTCTTGATAAAGATATAATATTAACTCTACCCTTAAGAATCCTTATATTAAATTGACTCAATAAGACGAATCTTCTTAGAAGTATGAAGATTAAGTAGTTATAAAGTTTTGTGGGGGAGCCTATATTAGGTTGTGTTTTCCTTAAGTAAGAGGACTCATGTATGTAATTAAAAATGGCTTTGTCTGGAGCCCTCCTGAGTAAAAAGATGTATGGCTGAGGATTGGTAAAGTGTTTATTCTAAGCACATCCCGATAGCTTTTCTGCCCGTGGGAGTCGTCAAATATTTCTGGGCCTTATTCTCCCTTCAGAGAGTGGGTGCTGTCATAACGTGGAATGTTTGTCAGCTTTAGGCCCTAATGTTCTAATGACCAGGTTCTGCAGCTTGTTCTGTTAAGGAAAAGCTTAGAATACACTTTAAGAGTCTTAACTCAGTCGGTGTGGCTCAGTGGTTGAGTGTTGACTTATAAATCAGGAGGTCACAGTTCAGTTCCTGGTCAGGACACATGCCCAGGTTGTGGGCTCGATTCCCAGTAGTGAGCGTGCAGGAGACAGCCAATCCATGATTCTCTCTCATCATTGATGTTTCTATTCCCTCTCCCTTCCTCTTTGAAATTAGTAAAAATATATTTTAAACAGAGCCTCAGACTCCCCTCTTCAGCCCAGGAAAGCACAAACATTTGGCAAGATCTACTAGATTAAAACAATGCATGCAGGAGGCAGCCAATCAATGATTCTCTCTCATCATTGATGTTTCTCTCTCTCTCTCTCTCTCTCCCTTCTTCTCTTTGATATATATATATATTATAAAAGGCCAGTGGCCATAACGCTGGAACAACCAAACAACCGGTCACCAGGTGGTGCATTGATGGGTCTCTTGGCGGCATGGCGGGTCTGGGTCTCACACGATTTCGCGTGCTGGGCCTCTAGTGTGTGTGTGTGTGTGTGTGTGTGTGTGTATACACATACATTTTTTAAAAATCTGTACCTTGAAGGAGAATTGTTGTTGTTCGCTGCTTTGTTGTAGGAATGAACTGAAAATCCCTAATGGAATAAATAGAAGGTTACAGCCTCTCTAATATTTTCATTGATTCCACAAATGTTTTATTGATCAACTTCTGTGTACCAGGGGGTAGGTGGTCAAGATGAAATGCAGCCCTAGCCAGTTTGGCTCAGTGGATAGAGTGTCGGCCTGTGGATTGAAGTGTCCTAGGTTCGATTCCAGTCAAGGGCACATGGCTGGGTTGTGGGCTCAATCCTCAGTAGGGAGCGTGCAGGAGGCAGCCAATCAATGATTCTCATCTCTCTCTCTTTCTCCCTTTCTCTCTGAAATCAAAAAAATATAAAATAAAATAAAAAGATTAAATACAAAGTCCCCAATTCAAGAACCACACAGTCTAGTTAACTCTGGGACATAGCTGAAAACCTAGCTTCCTTGGCAATAAGAAATAGGATGACCTGATTACCTCTCTAGACAAATCTGTCTCCTTGAGAAAGGAAGAAACATTGAAATTGAGGAGACAGCAAACGGACAGCAGCTGAGTTCCTTCCATATGGTGGGTGGTCTTGCTTCACTCTAGGGCCCCTGTCCACCTTTAGCCCCCGGAGAGGTCTCTGCAAAGCTATTTACTGCCATTGTTCTTCATTTAAAATAAAGAGACTATTTAATACTTTCTACATGCTGGAATCCCCAGCTTATTTCAGTGTGTGTAAAATTCTCTGAAGTCCTTAGTAAGAGATTGTATATAGCCACGATTTTTTAAAATATATTTCGATTAATTTCAGAGAGGAAGGGAGAGGGAGAGAGAAATAGAAACATCAATGATGAGACTCATCGATTGGCTACCTCGTATACATGCCCTACTGGGGACTGAGCCCACAACCTCAGGCATGTGCCCTTACCTGGAATTTAACTGTGACCTCCTGGTTTATAGATTGATGCTCAATCACTGAGCCACACCGGCCAGGCTATAACCAGGATTTTAATGAAAAGAAAAAGAAAGAACTAATATGTATACAGTGTTTTAGTTGTGAATTAAAAAAATAAAGATTGTCCTTTTGACTTTTTCATTTTATATTATTGAATTAACCAAAAATTCATAATTAAGGTGTGAAACAGTTATCAGATATGATCCTGTCGGAACAAACTTCCTTAAATCCCATCCTGCTAGGCAGGTGCATACCTGGATCTTTTTGACTCAGCGGATAAAAAGCCTGTTGGGTGAATTCATAAACCAGTTGGTCTAGGGAGTTGCTCTCAGGTGCTGTAATATGGGACTTACTTTTTTTTTCCTTTTTCTTCTTTCCACAGGCAGATTTTAAGAATGACACCACATCCAAGGCAATTCATAGTATATTTAAGAATGCTATAAAGCTCCTGCAGGAAAAAGGATTCATTTACCAGAAAGATTGTGGTTTTGATAACCTCTTCTATGTAAGAGACTTGCATCTTAATATTTTTCCTTCTTAGCTTCAATTGCAAATATGTTTATTACTTAAGAATACCTATTTACTGTTTTTAAAAATCAGCCATTAAAGATGCACATAAAGTAAGGAACCCCAAGGTGCCACGTTTAACAGTATATCCTTCTAGACATTTATGCATTTACACATGCACACATATAAATAGGTGTTCCTGTGGCTTTCTTTGTTTTACAAAAAAAGTGATCATTCTCTAAGCCAGGATTTCTCATCCTCAACACTATTTGGGCCAAATGATTCTTTGTCATGGGGGGCTGTCCTTTGCATTGTGGGATATTTAGCAGCATCCCTGGCCTTCACCCACTAGATGCCAGTAGCAGCCCCTACCCTCCCCCCTCTCCAAGTTATGGCAGCCAATGTCACCAGACATTGCTAAGTGTCCCCTGGGATAGTTAAGAACCACTGCTTTAAATAATGCTCAGCAAGTTTTTGACACCAAAATAGCACACAGCATCCTTCCATGTTACTACTTAAAAATCTACCTCATTCACCAAAACCGGTTTGGCTCAGTGGATAGAGCGTCGGCCTGCGGACTGAAGGGTCCCAGGTTCGATTCCGGTTAAGGGCATGTACCTGGGTTGCGGGCACATCCCCAGTGGGAGATGTGCAGGAGGCAGCTGGTCGATGTTTCTCTCTCATCGAGGTTTCTGGCTCTCTATCTCTCTCCCTTCCTCTCTGTAAAAAATCAATGAAATATATTAAAAAAAAAAAATCTACCTCATTCTTTTTGACATCTGCATGGTATTCCATGTTATGAGAACTTGCCATAAATGTTTTAACCCCTTCTCTCTGATGGACATTTATGGTATCTCCAACTTTTGCTCTCACAAATAGTGTTGCTATTGCTGTTTTTGCATAACTGCTTTTGTGAACTTGTGTAAATATTTCTGTAAGGTTGACTCTTAAAAGAGGAATTGCTGGAGCAAAACCATATACTTCTAAGCTTTTTTTGTCAACACAGTCTGATTGGTCACCCAAAACTTGCACCAGTTGACGTTCTCACCAGGGGTATAAGTGCTTACTTGTCTCATACAAGTTCACCTCTCACTGCCTATCTTTAATATTGGAGGAGCCAGGCTGAAATCGGGCCTCCTCATGACCATGGATATCGGGAGCATAGATGTGGCTTCAGCTACAAGTGATTGTCCTGAAGACAGATCCAAATTCTGAGGCATCCCAAAGGGAATGATTTACAGGCATGATTCCCAAGGGGAAGCTTCCTTAATAGGACATTTTCTTGATATTGATTTACTCTAGTGATTTCTGATTTTTGAGCGATTTTAAAAATTAAAATATGTTTTAAATACTATTTGAGTAGCTTTTGAAAAGGATATTGCAATCTGTATAAGGGTGACTGCAGCCCATTCCCTCTCGGGATGGGAAGGCCTTTCAGGAGCTGGTTGGTTGCAGAAGCTCATGATGGGCAGCTCACCTTAATAACGCCCCCAACTGCACCTACCCACACCCAGTCAGTCACATTGCCACTGGGAGACTCCAGGGTTGGCCAACTGAGTCTATAGAAAGTAGCTCTTCTCAGGAGAAGCAGAACCACTGGGCAGCGGTCCATAGCTGAGGTGTGGCAGCGCTAGGGCATTTCCTCCTATGAATCAGTATGAGCTGGATGATGAAGCAATAATTGCTCTCTCTTCCTCAATAGAACCATTCTTCTTTCCTGACTTCACCCCTCCCCTTTCCACTTAACAGCCTGGCCTTGTTGGTTTGTGTTTTCCTGAGGGCCTGGCCTCAGTGAAATAATTATTACAGTAATGTAGACACTTCTATTTGTATAGTGCTTCCCAGCTTTCAGCAGCTCTCACCCAGTTTAATCTTTACGATAACCTTGTGAAAAGGCAGGTAATATCAATGTCCCCATTCTTAAATCAGGTCACTCTGTAAGTTCCATCAAACAAGCACTCCTGATATACAGGATGGGACAAAAGTAGGATTACAGTTGTGAGTACGCAAAACAGAGTTTATTCTTGTACATATAAAAAATACGAACAACTGGAGACCTACTTTTGCCCCACCCTATATGTATTTGTTTGCATGCTTTTGTTTTGTTCTTCCTCTTTTCCTTCCTTCCTCTTTTTCCCCTTCTATTTTTTTTGTTTTGTTGTTAGATTTACTACTGAACATGAAGGGAGACGCATTTGTCTGGTTTCCTCTTATCTGAGCTGGTTGAGAAAGGAACTAGGTTAGATTTAAAATATAAGGTGTGGAACACTGAGTATTGTATGCTAACCTTTACTCATGCTTTTGTAAAAGAATAAACTATATAAATATGCTCATAAGTGCATATAACATCTCTAGAAGGATATGCAGGAATCTAGTAACAACTACTGGCTTTGGAAAGGGGAACACGGAGCTTAGGTCTCAGTGCTGGGAGGAAGTCTGACCTTTGAAGACAAAAAGGGTCTCAAGGGATAGGCTAGATTTGTTCTCTTGCTAGCTTCTCCTTACAGTTTTATTCCTTTTGTTTTTCCTTGGGTTGGGAGGAGGAATAAAATGAATGAAACGCAAGGCAGGTGTCAGAGCCCAGAGGAAAGAGTCCTGGGGCTGAGATCAAAGACTTTGGTCCCTTGTGCCCCCTCAGAAATATAATAAATGAGATAAATTCTATGAATGCGTTATGAATATTTAAGAGGAAAGTTGCCCGTTAAGAGAATTCCAGTTTCTCTTTACATCATGGCCTCAGTGAGCCACCCCCCGAGGACTATACCTCTGGGTCAGCTACAGAGCAGCAAGCTGCTGAGCGACTGAACTGGTTTGACAATAGGCCAAGTATTGAAAACCATGTTGTTGGTGTAGGGATGATGATTGTTATGAAATCTTCAGAAACTATCTTAAATACTAATTTGGGAGTCTGGATGACACAACCTCTGTGTTACTTAACAACACTTTTTCTCCGAACTTTTTTTCCTATTTAGGTAACCAAAGAAGACAAAGAACTACACAGAAAGATCCACCGTATCATTCAAGAAGACTGCCAGAAACCAAACCGTAAGTGGTGTAACGCACAGGTGTCCTGATGCATTGGAAGGGAATGTTTCCTCCCAGAGAGCAAGGGCTGGAGAGTCAGGAGACTGGAAGTATGACTGATCAAGCTACCTGCCCTCTCAGAGCCTCAGGTCCCTCTTCTCTAAAGTGAGTGTTAGGCTTACACAGTTGTCCTGACCTTGGCTACCCATAAAATTCAACCTTGGAACTTTTTTGAGCATATGAATACTCAGATCCCACTCTTGGGGATTCTGATTCACAAGGGGATGGAGTGGACGTGACAGGTGAGCTCCTCAGGGGGTCCTGCTACAGTGAGGCAAGCCACGGGGATAGGACTTTTGTTGCCGTTGTTGTTTAATTTATTTTAGAGCAAGAAAGTCAGGAGGGAGGGAGAAAGAAAGAGATAAACATCAGTGTGTTGTTCCACTTTTTTATGCATTCACTGATTGATTGTTGTATGTGCCCTGGCTGGGGATCAAACCTGAAACCTTGGTGGATTGGGACAATGCTCTGACCAACTGAGCTACCCGGCCAGGCCCTGGGCTAGGATGTTTTGCTGTCCTGGCTCTCATGTTCTCTATGGTTTATGTTTTTCTTGTTTACTCTTGCCCCTTGTCTTTGAACCCAAACCTCAAATTTTCTTCTCTTCTGACATCAAGCCCTTCAGTGTTGGGAGGAATGGTTCTAGACATTACAGTTTATGAACAGTGTAATTCAGTCATCCTGAATTTTTGCAAACGAAATGGTTTAGAAAATAGTTGGTTTTAGTGGAGCTAGGTCAGCCCCTAGTGGTTAGAAACTCAAACTGTAGGTAGTCTGACAAGACATTACCATTTTCATACTAGTTAGAAAGAGAAGAAAGCAGTATCCTATCTTTAAGTCCTGTATAAGCTGATCCGTCTTGAAGGTGACTTTTCAAAGTCTGTCTTTTGCAGACATCTGTTGGAATATGTCAAATGACAAATGTTGGAATATGTCAACAAATGACACTGGAAGGAAAGTGAAAAGGTTTGTTAATGACCACAGGTCTCCTCATCCTGCTTTCCTTCTCTCCAGAAAAGTCCACCTCCCATCCTTTCAGCCCACACATGCCTGGCGCCTGGACCTGTTCCAGACTGAGTCACTGGGTAGAGCTGGACCAGGTCTCTAGCCCTGGTGTTTGATATGCAGCCCTATTTAGCTTTTAAGAACCGATGAAGTCAGAGCCCAGAGTGGCATGAAGACAGATCTTAAAATAAACTTAAAGCAACCAACTATTTGAATGCAGTATTTCTGGATTTCATTCAGAGCAATAAGAACACGTATCCTTTAGTTGGGTGGGGGAGACCATCTATCCACAATTTAAGGAGCTTTTAAGAGCAGTGAAATGTGGGATTTCTCAACCAAGAAGGCACAAGAGGCTGCGTCCCATGTAACATCCTTCACTCAACCTAGTCCCAGGCCACCTGGCCAGATCCTCAGTTTTGATCTGTATTAGGAACAGAATGGATTGAAATAATCCTAGGGCCCGATAAAGCAAATGAAAGAAATTCACACTTTATCTCTTAGGAGAACCAAATAGCATCTGTGACCTGAGGGTTTGTAAAGGGGGAGGTTTTATATCCACTTCGAATCCACAGGCTTTGGTGAGTGTGTGTGTCAGGTGGACAGTCTCTGTCACTCATTCTATAAGTAGGAGCCTCTAAAAGCCATAAACCCATTCCCCAGGACTAGTAAATTCCCAGGAACTCAATTCCCAGGAATAACTGAGAATGCCAACAAAAATACCTTGTAGGGACTGTCTGAATGTCTACTGTGGCCACTCCTTTTCACAGGAAATATCTATGACATTACAGACTTTATTCTGAATAATGCATGCACATGATAAAAAGTCTACCTGCAAAAATACACACAGAAAAGTCAGGCTTCCTCCCAGCACTGAGACCTAAGCTTTGTGTTCCCCTTTCCAAAGGCAGTAATTGTTACTAAGTTCCTGAATATCCTTCTAGAGATGTTATATGCACTTATAAACATAATTATGTAGTTTATTCTTTTTTAAAAGCACAAGTAGCCCTAACCAGTTTGGCTCAGCAGATAGAGCGTCGGCCTGCGGACTTAAGGGTCCCAGGTTCGATTCTGGTCAAAGGCATGTACCTGGGTTGCAGGCACATCCCCAGTAGGAGGCGTGCAGGAGGCAGCTGATCGATGTTTCTCTCTCATCGATGTTTCTAACTCTGTATCTCTCTCCCTCTCCCTTCCTCTCTGTAAAAAAATCAATAAAATATGTTAAAAAAAATAAAAATAAAATAAAAGCACAAGTAAAGGTTACCATACAATATTCAGTGTTCCACACCTTATACTAGTATTTTAAATATAACATTGGCTTCTAGAGATCATTCAGCAATAGTACATATAGAAGTGTCTCAGTCTTAATAGCTATGCATCATTCCATTATATGTATAAAGAGATATTTGACCATTTGTTTAACCACTAGAGGCCTGGTGCATGAATTCGTGCATGGGTAGGATCCCTAGGCCTGGCCGGTGATTAGGGCCGATCGGGGCCTTCCTGCTTCCAGCAGGTCTTCCTTCATTCTGCGCCACCCTCTGGTGGTCAGCGCATGTCATAGCGAGTGATCGAACTCCTGTCTCGAGGTCAAACTCCCGAGGGGACACTTTGCATATTAGCCTTTTATATAGAGAGATTCCTCTGGACCTTTTGTTTGTTTCTAACCTTTCATACAAAGTATGATATTGAGTTTTTCCTTGTCAGGATGATTGGGTGAACTTAAAATCTTTAGTCATTATGAGTATCTCAGTAAAGGTTAAACCTACAATAATAAAAGGACTATAAATACAAGGCTTGTTTTAGGTGCCTAAAGCACTGATACTGGATTTATCTAAAGATGGGCAGCATAGCATGGTTGTAAAGAGCTGGGCTCTGGGACCACCTTGCCTGGGTTTGAATCCCACCTTGCCACTTTGCAGCTGTGTGACCTTGGATACGTCTGTACCTCAGTTTCTTTATATGTAAAATGGGGATACTATTGCCTACATGATAGTTAGGAGGATTAAACGCATTGGCATTTTATAAAACTATTTTGAAGATGGCAGAATAGGAAGCACCAGGAATCTGTCTCTCTACTTAGGCAACTATTTCATCTGTCTGGTAATTAAAAATCTGCCAACAAAGGAAAGCCCTGGACCTGATGGCTTCACTGGTGGATTATATCACACATTTACAGTAGAACTAACATCAATCCTCTCTGTGTAACTGAAAGGTCACTTTGTGAACAGCCTTACCAGAGCTCTTCAACAGCAGAATGGCCTGTCTGAAGAAATAGTTTAAGGCTTTGGGAAGAGTTGAAGCTTCTTTAGAGCAGAGACTAGGTTATGAGCATATTCTTAGGTTATGAATACAATAGAATCATAGTTATTCCCCATGTAAGAAGCCCATACCATGGATCTCCTTTCATCCACACAACCACCGGTGAAGTAGGTGATTTTATTGCCATTTTATAAATGAAGAAACTGAGTGAGATGTGAACTACTTTGTCCCAGTTATAGAGCCTGGACTTGAATTTGGGTCTGTTGGACTCCAGGGTCAGCTCTCCACCTGCACTCTTTTATCTGCTGCTTTTTTTCTGACACCACACACATAGTAGGTGTTCAGAAGTCTTTATCAAATGAATGTTGAATAAACAGGCTGCAAATGTGGAGGAAATAAGTGAAGGTGGCAAGTTTTCTAACAGTAACCCCAACAGGGAGGAATAATGAGTTGATAGAGCCACTAGAGGTCAGAATTTAGCAAGTCTTTGTTAGCCTAGGCCGGTGATAGTCTCTGACCCTTTGAGCTGGAAAGGACCTCACAGGTGCCCCCACTCCCTCCCCAGCCTCCCTCTCCATAGGTGAGAAAACTGAAACTTGAAGGTACTATGACTTGCCCAAAGTCATCAGGTGCACTGACTTCCAAACCATGCTCTGCCTAACATCACAATACCTCTTCAGATGCCTTCCTGGAACCTAAAACGTTTTTTTCATCTGAAGCATTCAGTGATTGTGTGGAGCATGAGAGGCCAAACCTGGCCCTGCCATGGGGCTATAAGTGAAAACTGGGGAGGGTTTGGTTAATGAACTTTGACTTTAACTCAGGAGTTATAAATGCATTTTACATTATGACCCAATAAATTATATAATTATAGTGCAATAGATAAATAGGTAGATATAAATTATGTTTATTTAGAAATTGTTTCACAAAATAAGATTTATCCTACCTACAATGCAGTACATTCTGTAATCTTCTACTTCAGTTTGTTGTATGAAAAAGAATGGTAATCACAACCCACTAAATGGATTTCATGATCCTCTAGTGGTCAGAACTTGAGTTGAAATCACTGATTTCAGCGAGGAAAGAGGTTGCTAACCCTGAACTTTTATCACTGTACACCAAATGGTCTTGGTTTGGGGTAGAGGGTAAGAGGTTACTATAGCACAACTGTCTCAGACAAACCTTCTTGGAAGCCTGTGCAGAGAGAAATGAAACAGACCAAAACTAGGAGTCCCTTCTTCACCACGGCCGTCCTGTCAATCAGGACTCATGAGAAAGCATGGAGGCTGCTGTAAACTGACTGCTGTTAATCTCGAGCGGGGTCCCACTGGGAAGCTGGGGGTTCAGCACAGAATACATGCACTCCTACATGTAATGACATTGGAGGAAAAATATCACCAAGCAATAAAAATCCATTAGGTTATGGATATAAAATTATTGATTGGGAATCCTTGAAAGTTGAAGGCCTGAGTCCTGAGCAGTGGGTCCATAGATGGCCTTGAGAACAGGTTTTTTTGTTTTGTTTTTGCTGATAATCTAGACCAGTGCATCTCTGACTTTAACATGCATAAGAGTCATCTGGGGATCTTATTAAGATGCAAGTTCTGATTCAGGAGGCATGGAGAAGGGCTTTGGTTTAGAAGGAGGGGAGAGGGAAGAAGGTCTGACAGGTGTGTCCAAGCTTAGCCAACTGCCTTTTTCCTGCAGACATGGAGAAGGGCTGCCACTTCCGGCACATCTTGGCCTGTGCTCGCCTGAGCCTGAACCCGGGCCTGAGTGAGCCTGTGCTGCAGCAGGTGCTGGAGCTCCTGGAGGACCAGAGCGACATCGTCAGCACCATGGAGCACTACTACATAGCCTTCTGAGGACAGGCCGCAGACAGCCTGCGCGGAGCCGGGCCGAGGAGAAAGACCAAGTGGCGTGCACTCCCAGGCTCTGATTTTGAACATCATACAGAGGCTTATGGGTCAGGAGGCAGTTATCTTAAAATCAGCTATGAAATAAGGTCATTGGAGGAATGGACTTTGGCATAAATTCTGTAGGCTGCCTTTTACCTGCTGTATTCTTGGGATAAAATGACTTTTATCTCGGCCACGCCACACAAGAAAGCCCTCTCTGTTGACCTGCTGGCTGGACTGGGCATCCTTCGTGAAGCAGAGAGGGAGGAGACGGTGTTGGTGGCTGAGTCGGTGTGTGTGGAGGGGCTCTATCATGGTAAAGGGGCGTCGCGTGGTAAAGCCCAGGGACTGCAGGAACTGAAGAGCATGCAGTCAGATCACACAGAGCTAAAGCTTTTTAAAAGTTCAGACTATCAGAAACATTCTTGTCGTCTGCTTTAATGGTTAAGAACCAGTGCCTGGAAGTGGCTCTCCCTGAATGTGTGTCGCTGGGCTATGATTTCCAAGGGTTAAGCACCAGCGTTGGGTCATGAGTCCAGGTTGAATGCTTTTACAGACACTCAGAGATGGCAGTTAATGTGTCCAAGGCATGGCTCTGTGTCCCTTTTCCTTCTGAGTTGAAAGGTGTTTCAGAGCATTTGCCTGCATTGAGGATATACGGGGCTAAATACATTGTCCCTTAAAGCCCTGAACTTCCTGGAGGCTTTCATACAATTATCTGGCTGCGGTTGATGTTATTTTTAAGATTATCGTTGATGCCGAAACCGGTTTGGCTCAGTGGATAGAGCGTCGGCTTACGGATTGAAGGGTCCCAGGTTCGATTCCGGTCAAGGGCATGTACCTGGGTTGTGGGCACATCCCCAGTAGCGGGTGTGCAGGAGGCAGCTGATTGATGTTTCTCTCTCTTCGATGTTTCTAACTATCTCTCTCCCTCTCTGTAAAAAATAAAAAATATATTAAAAAAATAAAAATAAATAAAATCTCCCTTTCTCTACAGTGGTGTTTAAAAAAAAAAGATTATCGTTGAAGTGCAGGATGTTCTGACACCATCCAGACAAAGACTCAGTATGTGCCCAGACAGGTGATGGAGTTACACTTCTGCTCAGGATGACAAGGTAAAGGAGAAAAATCTGCGGCATGTAGTAGGCTTGTTCTAACAGCACGATGACAAAGCCAGCCAGCAAAAGTAAAGCGCGGAGAAAGTTAGGGAGTTAATTACAGTCATTTCACAAAAGGCACATCTGCCTGTGTCTGCTGCGTTTGCTCTTGACATAATAAGCTCCTAGTGGCTCTGCCCGAGAGCCTGTCGGCCTGTAGCGTTGCTCTGCTCTGTGCGCAGATGGAGTGCTTTGCCATGGAGGAGTGGCTACAGCTCCTTAGTTAGGCTGAGGGCTGGTACTGACAGATCGCTTTCTGTTACGGACTTTTCTGACTTGACCTAAACCTCTGCCCTAATTCTAACAGTGATTACCGGATGGCTGCCCTGTGTCCTCGCGACCTGTAGAATGGGGTCTATCTGGAATGACTTCCCAGTGGCTGTTCCATATTGAATATATCTCAGATTATTGGAACTGCCAGGAAGGAGTCTTGAATGAGACCATATATATACTTTGCATACAGCAACCCCACTTCTAGGGGATGATCACATGGGTGTGAAAGGTTGATGCACAAGATGTCCATTGCTATATAATTCAGAATTATATAATTGGGAAGAGTATTTATAGGGAAAGGATAATTATGGTACATGTACACAGTGAAATACTATGCAGCCCAGACAGATATTTTTACTACAGAGCACGCTTCCTAATAGACTTAGTATAATACTGGTGATCTAAAACTACCCGTGTGTATATGTATATCTGTATAACAGAGAGTGCTTCTGTATGTACATGTGTATAAATGTAGCAACGTACACACGTATGTACAGTTGACCACTCCCCACTCCTAGGAGTACTTTCTGCACTTGGCTTTCAAGACACCACACTGTGTGTGCTCTTTCTCAGTCTCCTTTGTTCAGGCTCAGTCCCAGACCACGTTTCTCTCTAGCTTTCTCCCTTGGAGAGCTCGACCAGTCTCGTGGCTCCAACCATCTATATGCTGAGAAATTCTACAACTTATCTCCAGTTTGGACCTCTTCTGAACTCGAAACCCCTGCATTCAACTTCCTGCTCACATCTGCCCATGTCTAGCAGACAACACAAACTTAACATGCTCAATGCCAGGTTCCCAGTCACCCCTGACCCCACACACGCTCCTGAAGTTTTCCCTGATTCAGGAAAAGGCAACTTCATTCTCCAGGTTGCTCAGGCCAAGCCCATTGACTTCTTGCTTTCTCTCCCATCCCATCTGCCCACAAATTACCTTGGCTCTACCTTCAAAATATTTCTAGAATCAAACACTTCTCCGTCCTCCACTGCCACCCCCTGGAGGATTGTTGCCTCCTCGCTGTTCCCCCTGCCTCCGCCCTTAGCCCTCTTTAGTTCATTCTCAGCAGAGCAGCCAGTGATTCTGTGAAAACTGAAGTCAGACTCAGTCATCTGCTCCAGCTCTCCCAGGACCTTTCAGTCCCATTCCAGAAAGGAGCCTAAGGCACCCCAGTGTCAACAAGCTTCTGCTCTGCAGCCTCCTCTGCCCGCCCTTCTCCCCCCCACCCCCGCAACACACACACACACACACACACACAATTCAGTGTGAAAAGATTAAATAATCCTATCGAATAAAAGAGAAACATGCAAATTGACCATAACCCCGACACCCTTCTATTGGCTAAT